ACACTTGCTTTATTCTTTTTACTTTAGAATTGCCTCTGATGTAAACTAGGCATACCGTAAAGTGAACCATCCTGCTGTTTCCGGTTGAGTGATCTGTGTTGTACGTTTGCAGTTGACCTTCATCCCCAGCGCTTTTCCATCCTCCCACACTCAACTCACCGAACGCGTATTGTCTGTCTGCTTCTCTCCCAAGCTCCTGGTCCTCACAATTCTACTTCCTTTACACATCTGGCTCTTGTTAGTCCCTGACATAAGTGATGACGCAGTGTGTGTTTTTGTGTGTCTGCGTTATCTCACTCGGCATGTAATATTTGCAGGCATTCAAGGAAATTTTCCGCTTGATTTGCTAGCACAGAATATCTTAAACTCTTACACCATCCAGCTACTATTGATTAAAAAAAAAAAAAGAACACAATGTCGTTACATGTGCTCTGCCTCATTGGCTCCCCGTAACCTAGTCACCTGCATGTGCAGTGTACTGAAACACTTGAGCAGATGTCTGCTTTCAAAAGCTGAGTAAGAACACTTACAGCTCAAATCAGACCCGGAAATGAAGCAACGAGGAAGAAGCTATCTCTTGCCTGAAAATGATGACCTACCTGGTCTTTCAACTCAGCTACAATTTCATCTTCTTGAGAGAAACTAATCTTTCTGCTTAGCTGACATTCCCTAACAGATGAAAAAGAAAAAAAATGTTTAATAAATCAGAAGTTTGAGATCTGAGGCAATGAATTGGCTTCTCCTTGAAAATTTGGGTGTTCTTTGAGACAATACAGTCAAAGTTTTCCTTGGTCAGTGTCTTACACGGATCATTTAAAACAAAAAAATACTTGAAATTTTTCAAATTTTCAGTCACTTGATTTTTGATAATATAAATGTATATATTCTGTGAGAAATATGTAATTTGCTCATATTTACCCTGAGCAGAATTGTTAAAATGGTGTAGTGTTTTCTGTTTTTGTGGATATTTTTTAAGCTGTCATGTTTTTTTCCAAAGTTTTTGAGTGAATTATAGTAGTTGGCTTTACTATTTTTTTCAAGCTGTCGTTTTTTCCCCAAAGTTTTTGAGTGAATTATAGTAGTTGGCTTTACGTTTATCTACCCATGGTTCTAGTTTTTGCACGTGTGTGCATGTGCAAGAGCCAAGCTACTTTATAACTGACACACTTAGAATTTGAAACGTGTTAAAATGTTGTTAAAAGGATTTTGGTTAGATATTTAGTTTATTTAGCTGGTTTTTGTGAATTTTTTTTAACTAAGTTGAAAAGAGATATATAGATCTGGAATATCGTCTTCAGCATTGCCTACTGTGTTATCTTTAATACTTGAACTCGATAGCTTTTGTGTCTGCTGCTGCTGCTGTAAATGCGACTGACATTTGTCAGTGACCACGCACTGGGCCTTCTTTCAGTCCCCTTTCCCTCCCGTGCCACTTACAGTAAGAGCTTCTGTGTCCGCACTGAATTCTGCCTTAGAAATTTGCCTTTAACTAAACGTAAGCTATTTTTCCATGTATTTTTACCTAGAGAGTAATCACAATTCCAGTGAGAAGCACCTTGATTTGTGGCTATGAATTATACACGGAATGCTCAAACTCATGCTATCTGCGTAATGCATTATGATAGTCCATCTGTGCAGAGACAGCTATCATCTGTTTTATCAATGCTGCCTAGGTTGGTGACATACTTGTGTGCCACTGAAAAACGCATGCTCCTCTGCCCTGCTAACAGCATCCTGTACGGTGCAGTAAAGTGAGTCATAGTTCTACTAAATAAAGTTGTGTTGAATACAGAATCCATCCTGCTTTGGGTTTTGTTTGTCTGTTTGTTTGGTTGGTTGGCTGATTGGTTTTGTTTTTTTTCCCCCGAGACAGAGTTTCTCTGAATAACTGCCCTGGCTGTGCTGGAACTTGCTCTGTAGACCAGGCTGACCTCAAACTCACAGAGATCCGACTGTCTCTGTCTCCCAAGTCCTGGGATCAAAGGCATCCGCCACCACCACCTGGCCCTGGTTTGGTTTTTAACTTTATTAGACTCTTAAATTTTACCTGTGTGGAGCCTTTAATCCCAGCACTCGGGAGGCAGAGGCAGGAGGATCTCTGTGAGTTCAAGGCCAGCCTGGTCTACAAGAGCTAGTTCCAGGACAGGCTCCAAAGCTACAGAGAAACCCTGTCTTGAAAAATCAAAAATAATTTATTTGTGTGTATACATGAACATACCTGTCATGTATGTAAGTACATGGAAGTAAGAAGGCAATTATGATATTTGATTTTCTTTCTCTACCATGTGCTTTCCAGGGATCAAACATAGGTTGTCAGTCTAGGCAGTAGGTCCTCTTATCTGCTAAGCCATCTCAATAGCCCTAGATTTTAATTTTTGAAAGAAGTACCATGCATATCTCTAGTTCTCAGTAGTCTCCACTAGTTACCAAACTGGACCGTAGAGTTGGAGAAAAAATATTTTTGTTGTTGTTGTTATTTATCTAATTTTGTTTTGTTTTTTACATCCCAATCAAAACTTCCCCTCTTCCCAGTTCCTCCCTCCCCCCGCCTTCCCTCCACAATGTCCACTCCCCCACCGTTTCTCTTCAGATACAGGCAGGCCTCCTATGGATATAAGACAGCCGTGGTATATCAAGTTGCAGCGAGACTAGGCATCTCTTCTATTAAGGCTGAATAAGGCAATCTGATAGGAGGAATGGGTCTCAAAAGTAGGCAACAGAGTCGGAGACAGCCCCTGCTCACTATTAGGAGTCCCATAAGAAGACCAAGCTGCACAACTGTTACATATGCAGAGGGCCTTGGCCAGTCCCATGCAGGTTCCCTGGTTGTCGGTTCAGTCTCTGTGAGCCCCAGTGAGCCCAGGCTAGTTGGTTCTGTGAGTTCTATTATGGTGCCCTTGAGACCACTGGTCCTACAATCCTTCCTCCCCCTCCTCCACAGGATTCCCTGGGATCTGCCTAAGTCTTGGCTATGGGTCTCAGCATCTGTGCCTGAAGTTGCTGGATGATGCGCCTCCCTGATGACGTTTGGGCTAGGCACCAATCTATGAGTATAGCAGAATTTCATTAGGAATTATTTCACTGACTTTATTTATTTATTTATTTATTTATTTATTTATTTATTTATTTTTTGCCCGTTCGTGTATGTTAGCCAGAGAAGGCAGCCAGCCGCTTGGTTCAGTAGAGGATGATTTCCCAGGCCAACCTTCTGTACGTTGCTGCGCTGCAACGTTTTGCCACCATTTCCATCTGGACCACGAGACCACTAAGTTTCAAGAGGCAAGGAAAAGGAGACATACTAATGATCAGCTTTTCCACTCTGACCTAGTGCTGCATCCTGCTCACCTTAGTCCCGGAAACCTGACTGGGGGGAGGGGGAGACTGAAGAATGAATAAATGGGTACAGAAAAGCTGGAGTCAGCTGGCCATGCTGGCTCTGCTGGAGCACCGCCAGCCACCCCAACACCTCAGAATCTCGGCATGCTTATACTGTGCAGCAGAGAGGGGAGAGGTTAGCGAGTCTCTAGGCCACCAGTCTCTGGTTGCCCTCATCTGGCAAGAAGAAGCAGCAATTGCTAGGGTTTGTACACACTGGTCAATAATTCATAGATATTCATACTTATGACTGCTTACCGTTCACACTTGGACCAGAGAAAGGCTTTGCCATACCTCTGGCATGGAAAAAGCTTCACCACCCCCCTGGGTCTGAGGCACCTTGGTCCTTGACGTGGCCATGCCCACGTCAGACAATACACGTACAAGACTCCATCTGAACTTTCTACATTCAATCAAATCTTCCTCGGCTCCCAACAGCCTAGAGACAGCTTAGAGCCATTGGTCATACCAGGGTGATGAGGTGCTCCAGGGCACTACAGAGGGGTGTCCCGGGATATTTTTCACATCTGAGGGGACTGAGGGCTTGCTCTGGGGATCCCATTTCTCTACCTCTTGCAATGTTGGGGTTACACATGGGCCAACACGCTTACCTGGCTTTTTAAGTAGGTTCTGGGGCTCCACATTCTCACACTTGCACTAAGCCCCAGCTCATAAAGCCCTTACGCGACAGTCTAGTGTCTATGGTCCTTGTTTGACCAGCCCTATACGGAACCATTTCGCGTAGCTACTACTCCCTCCCTCCTCGCCATTCAAGTCTCCCTCTGTCGTCAGGACGTCCTACTACTCCACAGTGCTGTCTTCCTTGCCTTGCTCGCGTCTACAGCTTCCACTAGGCCCCGAAGCTACACAGTGGCTCCACTCTGGATACGCCCTCCACGTCAGCTGTATTATGCACGACCTAAGATCAACTACCTATACCAGGTCCTTCATTCTCCTGTAGACACACTCTCCTCATCCTCCTTGGGACCACACATCTCCTGCTGGGACACCCCAAGGGTGACACTCCGCATAGGCTGCCTGAATTCTTTAACTCGGCTGTTTTTGTGTATGGCAGTCTCCTTGTACTACTGTCTCTGAGTCCTCACACTAGGCCACCCTCTTGTTCAAATGCCATCCTCACTCTGCTTTGACTCTGGCAACCTTCATGACGCCATGCTCCCCAACTGCAACCCTGCTTAGACGCTGAGAGCCGCACTGACCCAAGAAGCCCTCTGCATTTTGTTCAATCACTTGGCTTAGGATTCAGGTTTCTTCGCTAAGCCACAGTTCACTCCCAGCCCATCCCACTCTACTCTTTGACTCCGTATGCCAGGCAGCTGACCTCCATCAATAAGTTCAGTCTTGGGCAATGGTGGCACGCCTTTAATTCCAGCACTCGGGAGGCAAAAAATAAAAAAAAAAAAATAAGTTCAGTCTTTTCTGGCACATGGGGCTTCTCTACTCCAACCCCCAAAGGCGGGCACCTCTTGTCCCAACTGTTGTCTTTAGGACCAAATGGCTGGATAAGAGAAGATGCAGCCAGGTGTGGTAGCACACGCCTTTATTCCCAGCACTTGGGCGGCAGAGGCGGGCAGGTATCTGAGTTCGAGGCCAGTCTTGTCTACAGAGTTCTAGGACAGCCAAGGCTGTACAGAGAAGCTCTGTCTCAAAACTTCAGAGTGCAGACAAAAGCAGGGAATTCCAGTTTTTAATTTTATTTGTCAACAAATTTTTTCAAAATGTTCAGGATTCAAAAAGCACCAGTATACAATATAAGGTGGTCCCTTGCCCTAACACTCCTCAGTTCCAGCTGTTTTGAATGAGATTCCTTCCTTGGTATGACAAGTGGCATTAGCCTCACTACACAGCACACCAGTGTAGGCTGGCACTGAGACCTCCAGATGGCAGCAGTGTGTTCGGTTTTGTTTTTCTTCTAGCATCATAAGTGATGTGGGAGTGTCATATATCAATCTGTTGATTTCATTGGTTAAGTTATAATAAACCAGCTGCTTGGCCTCATGGCTTGGAACATAGATGGGAGGAGTAAACAATAGAATTCTGGGCGGAAGAGGAAGTGAGGTCAGACTCTGCTCTGCTCCCAGAGAGACCCGACAGCTCTGCTGGAGCAGAGACGCCATGCTCAGCTCTCCCAGGCAGATGCACGCAATGAAGCTCCTCCAATCCCGGATGGATGTAGGCTAGAATCTTCCCGGTAAGCGCACCTTGGGGTGCTTACAAACATCATTAGAAATGGGCTAGTCCAGGTGCGAGAATTAGCCTGTAAGGGCTAGAGTTCATGGGCCAAGCAGTTCTTAAATGAACACAGTTTGTGTGTTATTTCGGGCATAAGCTAGCCAAGCAGCCGGGGTGTTGGGGACGCAGCCCCGCCGCTTTCTATTTCAACACATAAGTATCGAGTATTATATGCAATTGGGGTACAAATCTTACACCATCAAATTCACCAATGTCTGCATGGAGTTAGGTCACTTTAAGCTTTTGGACACTGCTCCAGTTAGCTTGAACGTTGATCTTGACAACTGCTTCAATCAAACTGGCCTGTGGACAGGTCTGTGGAAGCCTCTTTATTACTCATTGATGTAGGAGGCTAAGCCCACTGTGGGAGGTACCATCTCCTAGGCTAAGCCCACTGTGGGAGGTGCCATCTCCTAGGCAGTGGATGGTGGACTGTACAGGAAAGTTAGCTGAGCACCAGCCTGCATGCGCTAGCTAGCAAGTGGCCTTGGCTATGAGTTCCCTGGTTAGAGACAAAGCTAATGGAATACAAAGCAGGCCTACTTACAGCTTCCTCCCCTAATTTCTCTCACTGACAGGCAGTAACCAGAAAGTGTAAGCCGAATAAACCTTTTCCTCACCTAAATTGCTTTTGTTGCAGCAACAGAAAAGAAAATTAGAACAGACACTGCCACGAACTGGCCCAGGGGAGCCACTCAGACCGTGGGAGAAGCAGGGTCTTGGTAACAGGAAGGCACAAGTTCGGCGAATGACAGACAGACAGAACACACAAGAGAGTGGTTGGAATCTGCTGCGATTTTACTGAATTCATGTTTTCATTATATAGTATTCAAACAAAGAACAAATCAAAAGGTCATGTGTCATTGGTTGGCACAGTATGAAAGCTTCTTTTAGTCACATCAGCAATATTTAAGAAAAGCATATTATCAGGGACAGGTGTTAGACATAAAGCATCCTTAGAAGAGGAACTCTTGTCCTTGGGAATGTAAACCTCAGGCAAGTGGTTTCATCTTATGAATAGAAAGTTTCTGTCTTATTATTGCTATCATGGCCCTTCTTCTTCCTAACCCTTTATTTCATCTAGTGACCAAATATACCTAATCAGTTCTCTGCACCTGCTGAACTATACTTTTTAGTACCTTCTTATGCAGCAGACATCATGGGGTTTGGGATCTAGCAAGCCTATCCATAAAGTTGAAAGTATAATATAACAGTCTTTGTCCATCAACAATAACCCATCTATTCTCTTGCTCATCATACACCCTGTGTATGACAAAGGTTCTGCTGTAGTCTTATACATTCCCATACTGTGCTTTCCTATCCCAGAGCTGTTTCTGAAGAGAATGATCCTTGTCTTGTATATATATAGAATATCATTATTATAAGAGATTGTGCAAAGCTCATATCCCGCATAGCCAGCTAATCGAGAAACCCGTCTATGCCTCAGCTGTGGCTAAGACCAGGCTGTCTGCCATTGACCTCCAGGAAGCCTAGTCCCATGGGACACGTAGCTCCCGTCCGGCATAATGACATATGTCATGTCACACAGATGACACTGGAGTTGGTGTGGCAAGACACCGAAGCCATTATTTCTTACAATCACCTAGGAGGAGCTGAACGAGGCAAACAACTTCTTGTTGTTTGTCAGGAGATTTCATTCTCTATCATAGATTTTTAAAAAAAAATCACACAGGTATTTTAGTAGATAGGTCAAATTCCTTGCAGTTATTTCTTACATAAGGCAGTGTACATTTGTGTACAGATGATTAAAGATGACCTAACCCTCCAGTGATGATGCTTATGTCATGTTTTCTTCATGCCTTCACTATTGCCTTCCCCAAATTTTCTCCTTTCAACATCCCCATGAACGTCGCTGGCATCTTCTCAAATCCTTCTTGGATGTACTCGTGATACTGGATTTTACCCTGCACCAAAACAACAATCATGGGTTGATTTCATTTTCCAAATGATGTTCTCTTCTCATCCTAGCAACAAGACACTTCGTTCTTCCTTCTAACCAAGGTTCACCCTGAGTGTTACCAGTTACTTAGAAGAAAGGGAGGAAAGGGTTCATATCAGAGGTTTTTTATGTACTTTACAGATTCAAGGATTGTTTGGTTCTCTTAAGACAGAGTTTGGCTATTGTAGTCCAGGTTGGCCTTGAACCCTTGGTCCTCCTACCTCCTCGGACAGGCACATACTAATACACCCAGCTTCAGGGTTTTTGTTTTTAAAGGGGTTTTATGTAGAAACCCAAGCTACCTGATAACGTTTGTACATCATCAGCCAAGGATGGCTGAATACTCTCTATAGACTTATGGTCATGCCACCGCTTGAGGTCACTCAAAAAGCACACGGGAAGTGGAATTTGAATCCCTGACTTCAAAGCTCTGGCCCATTCCTACTTTAAAAGGACAGAGGCCCCCGCATAGGACAGAAAGCTAAAATCTGGTGTGATGATTAAAACTACAGAATGAATATTGCTGTGGATAGAACTGTGTCCTACCCACCACCCGAATTCCTCTGCGGAAGTCCTAAATTCCCCAGTAACCAGAAAGCAAGTATCTTCTAAGACTGGATGTTTAAAGACATAATTAAAACATAATGAGGTCATATGAGCATGTCATGAGCAAGCAGGACTGGTGTCCCTTTTGAAACTAAGGCAGACACACCCAGAGAAGACCACAAGACGATGTAGGAAGAAAAACCTCTGAAGAAGCGAGAACCCGCTGGTACTTTGCTCTCAGGTGAGTAGCCTCTAGAATGAATTTCTGTTGACTAAGCCACCCATCCTGTGGTGCTTTGTGTCGGCAGCCCTAGAAAACTAACGCAAATACTAGTGAAATTTTAATAATAAGGGAAATTAGGTATAACAGGAGGGTATGCGGAAGCTTCCTACACTGTCTTCCCAAGTTTTTCTTATCAGTTTGTAATTGTGTTAAAATAAAAGGTGTATTTTTTTTAAGTTGGGGGTCTCAGTAAGGGAAAATGTTTGTTTAGCGTTTGTGAAGCCTTTGAGTTGAATCCCAGCATTGGGCTGGGGAGTAGGGGGTTGGGGCAGGAAACAAAGAGGTGAATTAGAAAGAAATTAAGGCAGCTCAACTTCACTGCTTCTTGTTTGAAGCAGTTCTCCACTCCAACCCCCAAACAGCAGGCACCTGTTGTCCCAGCTGTTGTCTTTAGGACCAAATGGCTGGATAAGAGAAGATGCAAAGAGAGAGGTAGCTAGGCGGTGGTGGCATACATCTTTGATATCCCAGCACTCAGGAGGCAGAGACAGGCAGATCTCTGTGAGTTCAAGCCAGCCTGGTCTACCAAGGGAGCTCCAGGACAATTAGGACTATTACACAAAGAAACCCTGAATCAAGAAAAAAACAAAAACAAGAGGAAAAAATGCAAAGAAAGAAACTATATGAATAAACATAGACAAGACCACCTCTAGGTATTTTGTTATGAAGTGGATGGGTCTGAATAGCAATGAAACTCAGAGAGGCTACGGGCATGAGTGGTGCCTGTCTGTACCTTCAGGATTCAGGATGCTGAGAAAAGAATAGCATGAACTTGAGATTAGCATGGGATACACGGTGACACACTGGTTCCATTCCGGCCTTCACCCTCAACCCCCAAACAAAAATTTAAAGAAATTTATTTTCCTTTTTAAGATGAGGAAAGAATGTTTATATATGAAAACACTGATTCAACAGACAAGGAGAGACAGAAAAGGGAAGAATTGGGGGCTGGAGAGATGGCTCAGCAGTTAAGAGCACTTGACTGCTCTTCCAGAGGTCCTGAGTTCGATTCCCAGCCACCACATGGTGGCTGCCAACAACCATCTGTAGTGGGATCAGATTCCTTCTTCTGACGTGTGTGAAGACAGAGCACTCAGATATATAAAATACATGACTAATAAATCTTAAAAGGGGGGGGATTGAAGGACTGAGGGTTGTGAGTTGTAAAAGTCTGCGGGAGCTGGTGGGCAGTGGGAGTGGCTGGGTCCCCTTACCTCTGAGACCCAATTCATCAGGTCTATCAGAGCCTTCTGGCGAACATCTCCCTGCCAGTGGGTAACGAGGAACCCCTCCATGCGGAGTTGCTGATAAATCACAGCCTCTGGGGGTGGGCCTGGAAAAGGAGCATTCACTCATAGTCACAGGGTCCTGGGACGTGTCCACAGTGAGACACACTGTCTCGGATCTCCAAGCACCCCCTCCCCATTCTGCTTCCTCCGCTCCTTTCTGATCCACAGGGCCAGCACTAACCAAGCAGTGGGGGAGAAGAATGGCCCCAGAGACATCCGCACGCCAAGCCCCAGAGCCCGTGAGCATAAACGCTCCACAGGGAAACAGAGAGCAGGAAGAGAGAAGCCACACTGGCTGCCTGGGAGCCAGCAGCTGAGGTATGGTGCAGGGTTGGAGTTACACACTCTCCGAGAGTCAGTGGAAGTGGGCTTATGGAATGGCAAGGTCAGGAGAACAGAAGCAAGCCATCTTTGGTGTCTTGGACAACTGGTGCAACTTAAGGCTAAAGTCTCCACTCACTACTTGGAAGAAAGAAATGGAGCCTTGTCTTGAACCAATAGAAATTGGCACATGATGCGGGACATATATAAATGCTGGGATGTGCCTCAGAACAAATGCGTTAAGTCATAACGCTGCCCATGCTCAGACCGTCCTGCAGCATGACGCTTCTTCAACAGACCCACAGCAACCTTATTTCCCTCAGAGTTAAAGGTCCAGCCTGGGCTAGGGAGATTGGGCTCAGTCAGTAAAATGATTGCCATTCGACACGAGAACAAGAGTTCAGATCCCTGGCACCCATGTAAAAGCTAGGCACAGCAATACGAATTTATAACACCAAGTAGAAGGATCCCTTGAAGTCATCGGCCAGCCATCTAGATGAATTGATGGGCTCCAGCTTCAGTGAGAGGCAATAGTCTCAAAAAGTCAAAATGGAGAGCAATTGGGAAGATCCCTAAGGTTGACCTCTGACCTCCATACATACCCACACCTATGTGCACACACCACCCACATAGGTGGGAACCTTCATTTCCTCATCTTGGAGGAGACTGAAATACTGTTGCTGAGCTCAGTACCCCAACAGGAACATTGGTTTCTTTTGAGTGCAACAAAGCAAATATGGTTGTAAGTTGGCAGAAATACTGGCTTGTCTCTGAGCTATACTGATACTGGAATGTGCTAGAATTCCTGGCCTCAGAAGCAAGGCAGAATCCCATCTGATTAAAATAGACAACTCTACTGCCATCTCTAAGACCTATTTGAGTAGCAGAAATTCAAAAGACTAATTGCAAAAAAAAAACAACTAGATCAGGAATATTTGATTGCACCTATTTAGACTGTGGTTAAGAAAATATATCCTGGAGCTGTCTTTGGTTGGCGGACAGATGGTTTCCCAAAATTTCACCTTAGCATCAATTGCAAAAGAAGATGTGTGGGAGGGGGGTGTCCCTATCAATGAGATTGCCAAGCAAATCTGGAGTTTCCTGGCTGAAGAAGGTAGTGTTTTGATTTTCCATAACTCACGAGGGAATCTGCAATCAGTCCGTCTTCAGCCCCACTGCTCTAAGCTCCCCCGTCTCTAGGCAGTGCTGCTGGCAATCAGTGCTATGGGCTTTTATTCACAAATCAAGCCCAGGATTGAAGAAGTAAGCAGTCGTTCTATGGTCACCCATATCCTGATTAGAGACCCAAAGATTCCTTTTTCTTCTTCTTCTTCTTCCTCGGAAGCCTCAACTAAATCTATCGTCCTGATAGCAGAGAGAAGACCCGATGTGAGGAGTCGAAGCACTGGGCTCTGTCTTGTGTCAGCCATTCATCTTGTAACAGAGGCTCACACAGGATCCCTCACAACACAGAAGCAAAGAGCATAGGGCTCTCACCTCACACTGCTTTTGGACCCCTGGGAGTATAAAGGAGAGGGAGGGAGGGATCTCAGTATAGGAAAGTGAGGAAGAGAGAGATAGAGAGCACAAGAGAAATGAAAGAGGCCAATCAAAGAGCATGTGTGCCCGGAGGGCGGGAGCAGCCAGGCCTTTTTCTCTTTTAGGGGAAATTGTCAGACGCCCATGAAGCACAGACGTCTTGCTGCTCTAGGAGGCAAGGCCCACCCACACCTGTGAAGACATGACAACTACCCCCGCCTCATCCCCGTGTCTGTGACTCTGTCCAGTCCTCCTACATGGAGGAGCACATACCTTGTGAACGTGGACCGGTGAGGTTGTACTGAGAGATGGCCCCACAGATGGCAATTCTCCCAAACGTCTTCATCTGGGCTATAACAGTGTTTGAAAACTCTCCGCCCACCTAAATAGACAGCCAGAAAACAAACAAAAAACATAACACGTTAAAAAATGGTAAAAGTCCACTAAGGAGAATCAACAAAATTGATTAAATCAATACAGCGGTTGTAGTGATTGCGGCTGAAATACATATCAGAAAGGAACATTTCTAAGAGGTAGAGGCAAAAGGATCAGAAAATTGAGGTTATTCCCAGCTACATAATGAGGGCAAGTTACTTAAGACTTCAGTTTAGTATAACAATCCAAACCTCATTTCTCCTTTGTAAAATAAAGTAAATAAACTACAAAGAAGGGGGATTAGGATTAAAGATTATAATCCACATGAGAAATGTTCACATGTAGACATTTTGCCTAGGAGCCATAGTTCAATATTCCTGGTTACTTTACAGAACACAGCTACTGCAATAATGAAATTTAACTTCAATGAAGAGATGTGTACTCATATATAAAGAACTGATAATCCAGTTGAGAGCTAGGCCAAAGTTCTGTATACATGTTCCCAAACATGATACATGTATGTCCATGAGTATGTCTTCAGTGTCATTTGTCACAAGGAAATGTAAATCAAAATCATATTGAAATCACTTCAGTCAGAGTAAGATGGATATAAGAAAACCAGTCACAAGTCAGGCAGTGGTGGTGCAAGCCTTTAATTCCAACCCTCAGGAAGCAGAGGCAGGTGTATCTCTGTGAGTTCAAGGTCAGCCTGGTCTACAGGTTGAGTTCCAGGACAGGCTCCAAAGCTACACAGAGAAACCCTATCATGGCAAAAAAAGAAAGAAAGAAAAATAAAAATAAAAAAAAGTAGAAGAAGAAGAAAGAAAGAGGAGAAGGAGGAAGAGGAAGAGGGGAGGAGGAGGAGGAGGAGGAAGAGGAGAAGGAGGAGGAGGAGGAGAAGGAGAAGATGAGGAAGAAGAAGAAGAGGAGGAGGAGGAGGAGGAGGAGGAGGAGGAGGAGGAGAAGAAGAAGAAGAAGAAGAAGAAGAAGAAGAAGAAGAAGAAGAAGAAGAAGAAGAAGAAGAAGAAGAAGAAGAAAGGCAGTCATTACAGGTAACATTAAGGCTATGGAAAATTCTAGCCCTTTGAGACTACTGGTAGGAATGTATGACAGTGTAGTTATTTTGCAAAAATACATTGGCAATTCCTCAAAATGTAAACATGAAGTTTCCATATGACCTAGCAATTCTACTCATAGATGAATATCCAAGAGAAATGAAAATGAATTCAAACAAAAATTTGTGTGTGAATGTTCACAGTAGCATTACACAGTGAAAAATCAGACGCCTGTCAACTGATAAACAGGTGCAAACTGTAGTATATCCATACAGTGAAATATCATTCACTCATTAGAAAAAAAACAAGTATGAATACCTACTATAACACGGATGATCTGGAATCGTTTTTGCTAAGTGAAAGAAGCCAGTCACAAAAAGAACACATTTTTGAGGAGAAAAGACAGAGGTAACTGAGAATTAATGTTTCTTTGGGGAGTGATAAATATTCAACAACTGTGGTCACAAAGACAGTTTGATACTAAAAATGGTTAAGATCTGAACTTTCTTTCATTTACAGTGCAGGGACTGGATGCAGGGCTGTGTACATGGCAGGCAACAAGCCCTATTGCTGAGTTACATCCTTAGGCTAAAATTTTACAGTGGGTTTATTTGTTTGTTTATTTATTTATTTATTTATTCAGTGCTCGATATGGGAACATGGTAACATTACAAAGCTCAGGCTTGCCTTGAGCCTGCTATCCTCCTGTCTCAGCCTCATGAGTGCTGGTATTATAGGTATGCCTACTATGTCTGGCTATTCAGTTTAAATGAATGAATTCCATGGTCTGTATACCTTAACAAATCTTTCCCCCATAAAGAGTGTACTTGATTCGTATATTCTAGACGGAAACTTTAGAAAGATGCTCCTTTATGTAATACATTATTGGTAAATCGGGTAAGCTCAGATTGTACTTACATTGTCAAAATAGCAATCGTAACCGTCAGGAGAAGCCGTTCTCAATGCTTCTTCCAAAGACTTTACTGTCTTGTAGTTAAAGGCAACATCGAATCCAAGCTTCTTAAGGTAGTTAACCTTTTCATCAGACCCTGCGGCACCAACAACTTTGCAGCCCTAAATGGGGGACAATGCAGACTATTAATGAAGCAGGGCCCAATTCCACGTTCCCACGTTACACAATCATGTTGTTACTCAAGAGCACACCTTGCGCAGGTCAACTTTTCCCCACTATGACAAAAACAGCTGAGAAAACAATGTAAAGGAGGAAAGAGACACCTGGCTCACAGTGTGACTCCATGTTTCTGGGGTGTATGATATGTTTATCACAGCAGAAGGGCATGGCCTTAGGAAAGCCACGCAACTATGGTGGCCAGCAGAAAGAGACAGAGATGGATAAGAAGAATCTAAAACAAAGACAATACCAATGACCTACTTCTTCCAGCTAAGCTCTCCTAGTTTGTCTCATCTACCAACAATGCCATCAAACCATCCGATGAGCCTATCCGTAGGCTGATCCATTGATGAGGTCAGAACTTTCCAAATCCAATCACTTCTGAAGTGGGAACCAGCTTTCAACCTATGGGAACACAATTCCTACCCAAACCACGGCACACACCAAACGCAAGGAATTCCACAGGAAGTCAACAGACCCTGAGGGTGAAACTGGTCCCCAGCCTAGAACTCAACTACAGCTAGCCTGACCACTCAGTAGATCTATTCGGTTTGCCGTTCATTTCAACCTGCTGCTTCAACAACCTGGTCACTTGACCTCCTGGTCTCTTCACTCTGGGGCATCTCTTTTCCTCCAATGACGTAAATCTTATCTCGGTGTGGTGCTTCATCTTTGTTGTCGCTGTGTTAATTGTGTGTGTGTGTGTCTGCATATGCACACGTGTGCATGTGCAGGTGTGTAGAAAGGCCAGAAGACAGATCCTCTCCATCTAGATAAACAGGTGATTGGGAGCCTCTATGCGGGTGCTGAGAGCTGAACTTGGACCCTCTGGAAGAGCAGCAGTGCTCAGAACTACTGAGCCATCTCTCCAGCACAGTGCAATGCTTCTTTGGAACATCATTTCCCCTTTCTCTCAGCTAGTTTTAAATTTTTATATTTATTACTAACCATGTGCATGCACTTATGACATGTAGGTATGGGTACACGCATGTAACAGCACATATGAGGAGGTCAGAAGACAACTTTGGAGAGCTGGTTCTCCCCTTTTCCTTGCACCTTTATATCAGAGGCTGAACTTGGGTCATCAGGTAGGTACAGTAAGTCTCTTTGCCCATGGAGTCATGTCTATAGTCATCTATATTTTTAGTAAAACATTTGCAATTTAAATATTGGAAATACTTCTAATTTAATTTTGTAAATATAGCCTATGCTACAATATAGCTAGACCTTCTGAGTTCAGAAAAAGAGAAAAACAAAGCCTACAAATCAAACTCAAACGATACAGGCAAAATTATCCTTAAATCCTATCAGCTCAGTGGTAGAGTCTGTGCTTAACACGTCCTAGACCCTGGTTCAGTTACCAGCCTCGCCCTAAAACCATCAGTTCCAAAGGTTTCAATCTATAGTGTGCCAATATTTCTTGCATTTCTGGAATGCCAGAATGACGTTGGAAGATAAATGTAACTCGCTGGTTGTAAGGTTAAATAACAAAAGCTGAGACAGTGTTTATGAGATTCAGCTTCTTTACTCATCTAAGTGTTTCCTACAGCCTCAGTTGTGTCCAAGTGCCTATTAGTAACAGAGGCCAGCCCTTGGCTATCGGGTACAGCTCTACATTCAACTCTATTCCACTGACCTTGCCCTATAAGAACACGTCCTAAGTCCTCTACAGAAGCCGTTGGCAAAGCTACATCACTCAGTCAGGTCACCTGAGAACATCCCCAATATGAGAAAACAAATCCTAACCAGGTCTGAGCTGCCTGCTATCCTGTACACTCGCCGTCAGACTGGATCCCTTGAGCAGAGAGCTGCCCAAGTCAGAGTCTACACTCTGCTTCCATTTCTGTTCCAGGAGTTCATTCCCAAACAATGACCCCACCACCTATACTGATTGCTCGCTTCTTTCTGATGCAACAGTCTTTGCAATAGACTGTTGGGTGATGACTCCTGGTTCGGCTGACCTCAAGTCCCTCTTTGTATTTCTGGAGTCATGAAAGAAGGCAATTAAAGTGAGCAAGAGAAGACACAGTAAAAACAAAACATATGTGTGTAATAAAACATATATTATACATACACACATATATGTTTGTGTGCATATATACTCAGTAAACCAGATGGGTTCATGCCTGACTTGATATCTGCTGTGTTATCAGTTAACACTGGTCATCTTTATTGTTTTCATTTTCTCATCCTCCCCTTTCTCAGCCTCTGTCTTCTAAACAAGTCCCAGAAAGTTGATCGTACACCCCCTTGAGTGCAGAAAGTCCTCTGTATTCACGACTGCATTCCCAGCATGTGCCATGGGTCCTGCAGAGGTGTGGCTAGAGAAAGACACTTACCTTGAGCTTGGCTATCTGCCCCACTACTGAGCCCACTGCTCCTGCTGCTGCGTTGACCATCACTGTCTCTCCACCCTTCACGCCACAGATTTCAAGCAGGCCAAAGTAGGCAGTGAGGCTACGGGAACACATACGGATGTGGGAATAGATTCAGACTCTTTCTCATCTCTTTCCCCTCCATACTCTCCCCCTCAGACAGTGGTGGTGCACGCCACTCAGCACTCAGGAGATCCCCACAACAAAAATTAAAAATTTTTTGTATCTTTAAACCACATATCTCTCAAACCCCATCATTATATTCTCAACATCTATTGGTTCAACTTTCTAAATCCCACTTATGCTACAGTTTGGAGATAAGCTGTGTCTTCCCCAAGCCTCTTGTGATTAAGGTTTGGTTTCCAGTGTACCAGTGTTCAGAGACAGGGATTTGACAAAGTGATTAGATCATGAGAGCGCTGATGTAAGCAATGCATTAATCCCATGATGGATTCAAAATATGATGGCATTGATAGGAGCTGGTACCTAGTCAGAGGAAGTAGGTCACTGAGGACAATGCCCTAGAAAGATACATCTCATTTTTGGCTCCTTGTTTTTCTCTTCATCCTGGGTGCCATCAGATAGACAATTCTGCCCCATAATTCCCCTTATACCATGATCATTGGCCTTGTCCCAGGCTTAAAACAAATGTGCTAATTAACTGAAACCATGATCTGGAAGAAAACTTTCCTCCATTTAAACTGTTGCTTTCAAGCATTCTCACATAAATAGAAGCTGACACAAGATGAAGATGAGAACATGTGGAATTTGTCATTCTGTACCTGACTTACTTTATTTAATGTCCTCTGGGTTTGTCTATGTTATCATAAAAGCCAAGGTTTCTTTCTTTCTAAAGATTATATTGTATTCTTTTATGTATAACATTCTCTGCATTCATTTACTTAACAGATTCTTCTCTGCTTGAGCTCCTTCCTTTTTCATTCCTAACAATTTTTTTCCAATCAGCCCTTGTGCCTTAAGTCTCTCCTTGCTGGTTAAGTTATAACATTAGACATTCTGATGAACAAAACATGCCATGACAACACTTACCCTGGCATGCCAACTGTCCCCAAAGCCAAAGACAGTGGTAACTTGTCTGGCCACTCTGCAGGCAGTTTTCTCAGTCCATTGCCATCAGAAATGGAATGTGATGTCCAGCCTGCTAAAGCCACCACAACAGTTCCCGTGGGAAAGGCTGGGTTTTTGCTTTCCACAACTCTGGAAGATAAAAAGACAGTAAGTAACGTGATATCTTTTCCCATTCATGGGGTCAGGATGCTTTGTAGGGAATGTTCAGCAGAGGGCATTGAGCTAAGTCGTCCATGACTGACTCTGAGGAATCTCTTCTTAGTTCTTAGTCATATAGGAACCACCAAAGAACATTCTCAACTGGTCCCGCACCAATCTCTTTCTCTGCCCATTTCTCTCCTTTCTTAGCAAGGGTCCTCTGTCCCCTGGATCCAGGGGCCTCTCTCCTCCATCCTCTATATATCAGCCTCCCCCCTCACTTGGGGACCCACTCTGTCCCCTAAGTCCTCCTTTCTCTTACATTGTTAACCTTTTCTTCTCTGTCGTCCTTTCTCTCAGCGGTAAGAAGGCACAACTCGGCCATTTTATAATCTCATCTTTTCCCCCCATCTTCCCCATTTTATACTCAAGTTTTCTCATTCTCCATCCGCATGATAAACCAGAACAATATGCTTTCCTCCTTCACCAGCCCACTGAGTTCACAACCTTCTGATTGTGAAACACAGTGGCTACTCTGTTTTAATATCTCTGAATTATTTATTTGTTATTCATGTGTGTGGAGGAGGAGACAGGTACCATGGCACGTGTATCGAGGTCAGAGGTCAACTGTCCAGAGTCCGGTCTCTTTCCACCATGGGTTCTAGGGACGGAACTCAGGCCAACAGGCTTCTCTTCTTTAATACCTGACTCCACCTCTCTACTCCGCCCTTGTGGGTCCCAAGACACTGACCTCTGACCTCTGGCCTCTGGCCTTTCCTTCCTAAGCTGCCTCTTTTCTGCCTCATCTACTGATTCTTGCAGCTCCTCTTACTCAAACCTTACTTCTTGAATGAGCCCTCCCCCAAGTTACAGCTAAATATCACATTTATTTTAGAAAGTTTAAATAAAATGAAAATATCAGACTGAAAACTTAGCTCAGTCATATAGTACTTGCCTGATGTGCACGCAGGCCTGGGCTGAATCACAAGCACCACAATTTTTTAAAGCAAAATTTAAAAAATGCTTAAAAAAAACAAACAAAAATATCAGCTATAATCTACAACATAAAGATAACAGCTAATTTTTGGTATGTTTCAAGGTAATCTTAATGATAGATTTAAAATATATAATGTAAGCTGGGTAGTGGTGGTGCATGCCTTTAATCCGAGCACTCGGGAGGCAGAGGCAGGCGGATCTCTGTGAGTTCGAGACCAGCCTGGTCTACAAGAGCTAATTCCAGGACAGGAACCAAAAAGCTACGGAGAAACCCTGTCTTGAAAAATCCAAATATATATATTATACTTACATAACTGAAGTAAAGTTTTGCAACCTAATTCTCTCTCAACTTTTTTTTTTTTCTTTTTTTTTTGGTTTTTCGAGACAGGGTTTCTCTGTGGCTTTGGAGCCTGTCCTGGAACTAGCACTGTAGACCAGGCTGGTCTCGAACTCACAGAGGTCTGCCTGCCTCTGCCTCCCGAGTGCTGGGATTAAAGGCGTGCACCACCATCGCCTGGCTTCTCTCTCAACTTTAGATTAGTTTTATATAATTTATATTTTTTGTGTTCCTGCCATGATCCTTCTCACCTCAGGCCCAGGACCAACAGAGGCAAGGGCTACATACTGAATCCTATGAAACGATGAACCAAAACGAGCCATTCCTCCCTTTTAGTCATTTCCCTAAGGTATTCGGCACAGCTACAGCATCCTTCCGACCCTCTCAGTCAAGAAGGAGGCGGGTCTTCCCAAACTGTTTCCTAGAGAACCACAGAGGCTGGAGAAGGAGCTGCGGGAGCAGTGAACAGACAGACCCGGCAGGTGCTGGAGGAGGACATTTATCTGAACGCCAAGGCAGATGTAAATACTTACCTGGCCACTTGCTCACCCATCATCTTATCACCCTCCTTCAGTCTTTTCGATGCAATTCTAAAAAAAAAGGAAAAAAAAAAAAAACAGAATTCACTCTTAGTGTACAAGACTATCTAATATCTTGAGTCTTGAGTACCAAGCCAAATGGCAAAACACTGAGTCAAAACAACATCCAATATGCCAGGGCAGTAAACCAGGTGAGATGCAGCATGAGGTGGCTCTGCTTGGACCCCAAAATATACATTCTATGAATGAATATGAGCGTCTTACCACTCTGCTCAGTTGGAGGTCAGTTTCTGTCAACCATACTCAAAATACAGCACGGGCCCTGCTGGTATCTGCTACCCCAACACTAAGCACCCCCGAAAGGATGCTAATTGCCATTTTGTTTTATTTAACAGAGTCTCCCTATGACTGGTCTTAAAGTTGCAGTCTTCCTGCATCAGCTTCTCAAGGCATGAGCCACCACGCCCGGTTGCTAGTTAACATCTTTAAATGGTATCTTTCCACAGAGAGTTGAATCTTTGCCAATCAGCTGTATTACTTATTTAGGTTAAAAGGAATCACTGAAGTGCCATGGAAGGGCATTTGTTCCCTCGCTGCCCTCCAGTGCTTTTGGAGTTATAAGTCTGAGTCAACTATGAATCACAAAACACAAAAGACTGGGGAAGAGAAGGCAGCAAGGTCTGGTTTTCATCTTAGCGCCTTCTGCTCCACTGTTGCCCGGAGGGAATGGGCACATAGGGGCCAGCTCCTGCCCCTCTCCCCATCTCTCCTGGAAGCAGCTCCACTGAGCAATGGAGGGGAACACTGCGCAGAGCTGACCCTGGGCTACAGAAGATGAGACCCTGGAATCTCACCACTGTTACAGTATAGGGAGAACGAGGAAAGCCTGCTGTTTTGATCATGGGCTACCCTAAAAGACGAGCTGCAGTCCTTCAAACTATGGGCCAACAAACATGAAAACTGAGGAGGGAGAGAGTACCTCATGTAAGGATCCACAGAGAGGAACAGGGCTTCCAGCAGGACCTCTACAAAAAAAACCCAATGAGATGTAGTTAGCGACGCAAGCCAGGATGGCTGCAATATCCCGGCATTCTGAATAAACAAGCCTAGTCTTCCTGCTTAGGGTCCCCGGCTCATCCGTGCTATTAGTGATTAATTTTACCATGCTGGGGATTGATTTTAAAACCTTGTGCATGTAAGGAAAACTTTCTTACCGCGAGTTTCACACTTCCAGCTCCCCACCTGTGCTTCCCATTGGAGAGAAGAAAGGTTTTCACATTTGACCCAACACAGCTGATGATGATGAAGATGACGATAATACTGCTACCTGTACTATTTTAGGGGGATCAATTCATGTGACATTTTCTTTCTTTTTTAAAAAAAATATTTATTTATTGTGTATACAGTGTTCTGTCTGTCTGTATGCCTGCAGGCCAGAACAGGGCACCAGACCTCATTATAGTGGTTTGTGAGCCACCATGTGGTTGCTGGGAATTGAACTCAGGACCTCTGGAAGAGCAGCCAATGCTCTGAGCAATCTCTCCAGCCCCCTCATGTGACATTTTCAACCATGGTCCCATTCTACTTAAGGTCAAGTTAAATAACTTAACACGGTCACTTTTGTAGCCGCCATGGTATGGTGGTCATGTAGCACCTTTGCTTCCTACTGTTGTGATAAAGACCATGACCAAATCTGCCCCAATCATACAAAGGGACAGATCCTGGGCAGGAGCTCCAGGGAGGCACCTGGAGGGAGGAATTGAAGCAGAGGCCATGAAGGAACTCTGCTTCCTGGCTCACTCTCATGTGCTTTCTTAACACAATCTAGGACCACCAAGGGTGGCAGAGCCTACACTGGGCTGATCCCGCCTATGTGAATCACTGACCAGGAAAGTATCTATGGACTTGCCTGCCCACAGTTCCATAGAGACATTTTTCTCACTTGAGGTTCTTCTCAGATAACTTTAGCTTGTGCCAATTTGACAAAACTAACCAGAATGCGTAACATTTTACTAGCTTCTTTGATCGATACAAAAGAAGACATATTTTGCTGAAGTGACCTCCTCTGTATATTTTCTGGAACTTTGTATCCAAGTTTTGCCCACTGCAACTTAACCTCAGTGAGTGACTCTGTCGTGGCAAGGGACTGCACCCTGTTCTCCAGCGCTAACTCACTGCAGCACCCTAGGGACACCGCTCATGGGCTGGGATCTGGGTAGAACTGCTGAGACCTGCTCGCCTCTCTGTCATCATCAGGCTCACCAGGACAGAGTAGACAGCCTTCTTTGTCAAAGCCATGAAGGGTAAGGCACCCAGACATGAGCTTCATCAAAGATGCTGGGGAGGGGGACCCGTGATGACATTCAAGCTGCATAGGAAAGAAACCCTAAAAAGGTTGTGTGGTGGATTGCAAAACAGACATAAGTGCCTCCCAACATTGTGTACAGAGAAGAGAAGAGAAGAGAAGAGAAGAGAAGAGAAGAGAAGAGAAGAGAAGAGAAGAGAAGAGAAGAGAAGAGAAGAAAGGAAAAGAGGAAAGAAAGAAATTTGCCAGCTTTTGAATCTGGGCAACTTGTTTTGATCCATGGGATTTTAAGAAAAGCAATACAAGTAGAAACTTGAAAAATTCTTGAACACTGGAGCTCACCAATCCACAAGACCACCACAAGGAAAGAACCCAATCTGGTTGTCCAGAAAAAGGGAGGGCGGCGCTGTAGCCTGACCCCAGTAGAAAACCTTCTATTATTAGGCATATGAATGAAACTTATCCTAAAGTAACTAACCATTTAGCTCAGGTGAGACCTACAAAGAAGCACCCAGCTTAAACTAGCATAAACTGTGAACACTCAGAACTTTTGTAAACTAGTAAGAAAAATTGTCTGTAGTCAAACTTGGGGATGGATTCTCCATTAGGCGGCAGAAGCTAACGGTTACAGCCTCTGCCAGCTCTGACTTGCCTCCATTATTTAAGGGTGGGAGCTCAGTTGTCTTCAGCTCAAAGTTACTGTCAGTGGGAAAGCCTTCAAAGTGCTTCTTCAGGGTCCAGCTCTTAGCCTGCACCATCTTGATGTACCTAGAACACGGTAAACACGTGGTCAATGATCATCTCATAGCCCTGAGGCCAGCAAGCACAACCCTATTACCATATAATCACATCCATTTACAGCTTTCTGGGATTATACTAAGCAGTTCCTATGTTTGATCTCATTTTATTCCCATGGCTTTTCTGTAAGAGTCATTGTTACCAATCACTTCAGGTGCACAGATGCGGAAAAAGGCTAAAACAAGCTCTCAAAGCAAAAAGAAACATATAAACTGACAAATTCATGCTGGAGTTTCTCTAGGACATTAGACAACTAGCGGACCTGCAAAGTCCAGCAATTTCTCGCCTCTCCTGCTGTGACTCTTCAGGAAAAACCTGAAATACAGGAACCAAAGTCACGTCTTTTTTTTTTTTCCTACAGAAGCGTGGACCTCATAGCCACTTGGGGGCGCCACTGCTCCATCTCATTGTCTCTGGTTTCCGCTCCAAAATGGAAACTGGCTTAAACTTGCTTCCAGGTAAAACCAACAGATAATCTAAGCTGCACAGTGCTTTAAAGGGAGGGTTGGGGACACAGAACTACACATCATCACGTGGGACCTCAGTGAATTCTCCAGATAAGCACTGAGGACTGACCAGTTTGTCCACTACGTCCCTCTCACCCTAGGACGATGGGGGGGGGGGGGGAAAACAAAGCCCAGCTCTTTCCATTTACTTGTCTCTGGGTTCGACAAGGGGTTCCCGTAGCCCAGGCTGGCCTGAGCGAGCTCGCAACCCGATCCTGCCGTGAACCATCATAAGGTGCTGATGACGAGCCTCGGCGAGAACAAGTGCTCCTAACTGCTGAGTCATCCTCTTTCCAACCACTCCCACTCCTCCCCCAACTGACAGCTCACTGCTTACATTGAGAGGACACAGTGGAAGTGGTGGAGAGTGTTTCACAAGCCCGTCATCTTCTTTACCTAACATTTTGTGACGAAACACTTGAAATCTGCTTCGTTTTGAACTAATCATTGTCACCAAGAGTCACTCTGTCTGACTCAGTGCCCTTTGACCAATACTTCAACCCTTCTCAGTCTCTGATAACTATCGTTCTACTCCACATTTCCGAGTTCATTTTGTTGTTTTTCTGAGACAGGGCATGGCTGTGTAGCCCAGGCTGGCTTGAACTCCCTAGGTAACAGAGGCTGTTTTTGGAACCCTTCATTCTCTTGCTTCCACAAGCTGGCACAGCAGGCACGCTCCACCACACTCAGCTTGAGTCTGGTTTATTGTTATCGTCATTTTGTGTGTGCATGACCCAGGTTGGGGGGGGGGAGGGTCGCATGCGTGTCACCGAGGGCTTGTAGAGGGCGGAAGACCGCCTTCAGGAGTGGGTTCGAGTCTTCCATCCTTGGGTTCCAGGGACCGAACTCAGGTTGTAGGACTTGCGGGGCAAGCACCTTCACCCGCAGAGCCATCTTACGGGAGGATTTCCATTTTGTTTTGTTTTTAAGACTCTTCATATTTCCGTCTCTCTTCAAAGCAGCAGCCCCTGTTCCTCCTGAACTTGCCACAAGTCTAGAAGGACCCCTTTGAAAAGGGTCCTGGTACAGTGCCCTTGGTGCGTGACCTGGCCTGCTCGGCTGGCTTCCTACCTCGCATGTGCGAATCCTCACCCCTATCTTTCTCATTTGCTTCAGTTTAGCAATCCTGCAAACTCCTAGCCCAGATCTTCCTGGGTGCAGGCGTTTCCGCCGCATGCACGAATGCATGTACAGTCGGACTGCAGGCCGACTTTGCCGTTTCCCTAACTCAGGTCTCAGTTTCTCCAAGAAGCTGCAGGGACCGCGAGGCGATTCTGGACTCCCTAACTTCCTGAGCGCAGAACCCAGGGTCACTAAGCACCGGTCTACGGACGTCCGGGTGGGGACCTCCCGCGCTCACATGCTCAACGAGGATTTAGATGCTCGGCGGGAAGAAAGAACCGGTCGGGCGAGGGAAGAGGAAAAGAAGAGGGATCAAAAATATTAGTGTGTCTACTTACAGAAGCTCGCAGAAACTCCTTTCCTGGGAGGCCGCTCTGAATGCTCAGTTTAGCGCCCAGCAGTTGACTTTAAACTGGACGGTCGGAGTGGGCGGGGCTTCTCCAGGGTGGAGCAGCTTCAGCCAAGAGCTGGGCTCACAGCACGGCAGGGGAGGGACGTAAGGAGGGGTTTGTGTGAGTAGGTGTCTTTCTGTGTTCTAAATAATAAAAATATTTTTTTTCCTGAAGAACTCAATTTACGTTCACAAGATCAGAATCAAAGAATTCAATAAATTACCCAGTTACTTCAGGCAGTATCCTGCCACCTCGGGCCAACTAACTGATGTTGCTGTCACTATTTCCCGTCTCTGGGAGAGGCAGGTTCCTTAACAGAGAATGAGAGCAGTCATGGCATCTAAAACTGTTTTGTAAAGAATGAGTTAAGATGGAGTTATGGCAGCGGGGGAGATAACAGCCGGCACTACTCGCTGCCAGCAGCGGGAGGAGTTCCCAGCTCAGGAACCTCAGTAAGGTAAAGTCCCTTCCTTGACTAGAGGGCAGAAGGCTCAGAGGAATCAGTGGAGAAAGTCAGGTAGTTTACCTGCCTTAGATTTAAGTGGGACATTTAGAAAACTATGCCCTTGGGTGATTTTACAATCCCTAAACCGCATTGCTCAGAGAAAAGATGAGGGAAGGAGAGAGGGTGTGAGATTGCAACCTGGCTTACTTTATCCTAAAGACAGTCCTTTGTGAATGAAATTTTTAGAAGGCTTCCTGAGGAACATTGTTCAGGTCTAGGGCAGAGGGGAGTGCTCAGACAGACCATTCTTTTGTAAAACTCAGTCACAAACATTCTCTACACAGTCTTGTTGGAGATGGTTTAGAACACCCATCATCTCCATAGGCAATCCTGACATTTTATGTTGAGGTTTCTGATCCCCAGGATGTTTGAGTGAGCAGCTTCTTTCCGTTCTCCTGTCCCTCTTAGTTCCCATCTTTAGGTCTCACGTTAGTACAGTGAGGGCTAGTTCTCAGTTAAGTCGTTTGACCTCTTTCCTGGCAAGCCACACTGAATCACCAAACTTTAATCTAATCTCCACCACTGCCCAGCTTTCTCTTTCTCTCTCTCTCTCTCTCTCTCTCTCTCTCTCTCTCTCTCTCTCTCTCGGTTTTTCAAGACAGGATTTCTCTGTGTAACAGCCCTAGCTGTCTTGGAACTACCTCTTACAGACCAGGCTGACCCCAAACTCACAGAGATCCGCCTGTCTCTGCCTCCCCAGTGCTGGGATTAAAGGCATGTGCCATCACTGCTTGGCTGGATTTTCCTCTTTTTAATTAAATTAGACTCACTCTGTTTCTTTGTTTACTTATTTGTTCATTCCGACTGAGGACTGAGCCCCAGACCTCACACATGTTAAACTTGCACTCTGCCTCTGAGCTGGGCCCCCAGCCTCAGGGTCTTTATAAAGGTGATAATTTGTGCCTTTTTCTGATGTAACATCACAGTCATCTTCCAAATAGATGGATTCAGATATAGTTTAATATTTTTTGGCACTATTCTGTAACTGAGGTGTATAATTATTCAGTGTTGGGGGTGTTTCTACTGGAGTTCTGTCCCATGCCTGTCTACAGTGCTATAACCATACCCTTTTATCTGTAATACTGTAATATACCCTTTTATAAAGAACTACATTATGTTCTTTTTTTCATACCAGCAGTATTTATTGTTATTCATAAGTGATCAAAAGACAAACAAGGCTCATTATTATAAGCACATGTATGAAATATCACTTGGTGACATAGTGAAAGAGACAGATATGTATTTATATTAAAACACACACACACACACACACTCTCTCTCAAGTGTCTGCCACATGGTGCTATGCAGGTGAGGTGTCAGGCTATCCAGTTCTGATATACACAACACATTAAGAATCAAGCATAAAAACCATACTTAAAGTTGCAAAAATAAAGTTTCCTTTTCTTCAAGCATTTTGATCTGGGCTCAAGCAAAGCAAACAAAGAGCAGCGATGATTTTCATAGGATCCTACACACGCTGAAACTATCAATATACCAAGGTCCACAAACAAAACAAAAACGGAGCTACAGGAATGGATAATGCCTTTCATCCAGAGTCTAACAGTCTGTTTCATCCCAGCTCTCAGACATTAAGATCATAATTTACATTACTTGAAGAGCAAGGTGAACCAGAATGAAACGATCAACTCAAAGTCATGACTGCAAACAAGGCATGGCTGCCCTCAGTCTCTCCTACGTTCCCCTAGAGCAACAGCATCATTTACCTGAAGGATCATGAGTCACAATTAAGGAGTACTCATACAAAACTATTTCCTTTATTCTTGAAAAGTGCCATATACTAGACTTTTCATTTAAAAAAATACACAGCACATAAACTAATGAAAGACAGTCTGTCTCCATCTCTTGTCGACCAGGTAGGTCAGGGCGAGTCTTTGATTCCAATTCGAAATGGCGTCTGCTGGCCAATGCCCAAAGTCTCCAATTTGGAGCAGTCGAGCTGAGCATTTTTGGAGCGTTGTGCTCCTATGATGGGGCTGTCAGTATAGGTCTTAAGTGACTGCTCAGGAGGTTGAAGGCATCTGCAATCGCACATGCCATTTCGTAGTTGGTCATCTGCTCATTGCCAGACCAGTGAAAGCTTCCCTTAATGGGTGGAACCAGCATCCTCTTCTCTGCCAGCTGCCGGGACACACTGGCTACATCCTTCACGCGTGTGGGGAACCTCTGTTGCCAGTGGTCCAGGTTGGCTGACTTGTTGCTGAACTGCACCTTGTCGAACCTAACAGTCACAGCGCTTTCTTCCAGCTTCTCATCTTCCCCATACAGAACAGGAATTCTCAAAACAGCAGCCCCAAAATTGTTCTCCAGGACTGCTTTTTCTCCATCTAATTTTGTTTGGCCATAGAGACGATTCAAGGGATTTGGTATATCTTCTGTGTAAGGGGGATTTGTGCTGTCAAACACATAATCTGAGCTAATGTAGATGAGAACTGCTCCAATAGCAGCTGCAAATCACGAGTGAGGTGATGAACTGCTTCAGAATCCAACAGGTTCACCTGTTCAAATTTTGGTCTTGCTCTTCGAAAGCCACAGTCAACAGTGTGTTGAAATTCTTGTCAACTGCTCTGCCAAGAAACACTGTGGCGCCTGTAAGTAGAACCAGCCCGGTAGGGATGTTTACTTCCTCCTCCACCTGCCGGCAGCTCCGGGGAACGAACTGGATAGAGAGCTCTTTCTCCTGGCCCACCATGCCATCTGCCTTTGCACCATCGCGACTGCGGTCACCTCCAGCGCAGCACAACCGGTGGCCACAGCACCCGCGCCCTTAGCTCTCCTCCCCTTTAGGAACTACATTCTATTCTAATGCCTTTATCTCTCCATAGGCTAATTTCAAAATGTGGCATTTATTTATTTTTATTATATATGTATTATATATAATATATATGCTTTAACCTACTTGAAAGTATGTATAACATATGTGTGCCTAGTACCCGCAAGCGGTCAGAGGAGCGTGTTTGAATCTCCTGGAGTTGGAGTCGGGTGAGCTACCATGTGGGTGCTGGGAACTAAACCCGGGTTCCCTGGAAGAGCGGCTAGTGGTCCTAACCACTGAACCATTCATCTCTCAGGCACCTTAAGAATAGACTTTTGATATAATGCTTGGGTAGAGTGACAATGTTGTAGTCAACCACTTCGACCTTAAGAAATAACACTTTCCTAAGGCTAAGCCTTTGAGGTTGCCACACTGCCTTCCAAAAAATGTCATGGCAATCTGTATTCCTTGGCGCGTCTGAGAGTTCCTGTCAAAACTAAAGCACACACCAGGCTCAGTGGTGGTGTTTCACCTTCTGTCAGTCCCAGCAGTGAAACCAGCTCACGCCTTGGGTCATCCAACCAATCGTTATGTTTCCTCTCCTGCCTGCCAGGCTTTCAACTACCAAAGCTCAAAGTGGAAGACTCGGAACCCCGCAGGAAGGCTGCATGAACTAGAGCTCAGGTCAGCTGTGCAGGTTTATCAGTTTCCTAGCAAGAGCGCTCTGTTGACCTCTGAACCTTTCAAAAGTGAGAATGTGGGCATAATGGAAAGAGTGTGTGGCAGTTGGCTAGGGCTTCCACAACAAAACCCATGGGTTAGAGGATTTCAGAAGCAAAAGTTTCATTTCACGAATGTGGGTGGACTGGCGAGATGCTGGGGAAATGGCTTAGTAGGAAAAGTGCTTGCGGTGGAGACTGGGGGACCTGAGTTTGATTTTGAAAATCTATATTAAAAACAATTTTAAAGGCCAGGCATAGTGGTAGTGGCACACACCTTTAATCCCTGCACTCAGGAGGCGGAGGCAGGTGGATCTCACTGTCGACAGCAGAGGAAAATACAAGCCATCTGTCTGGGTCACTGAGCATTTGGTCAGCTCTGGGATTCCTACTTTGGACTCCTTGTTCAGTGGGAAATGTGTGCATGTTTTTTTAAGTCACTGTGGGTTTGGTTTCTGAACTCTAGAATGCAGACTTGACCTGGAAAAGAACCAGGCTAAGCCGTTGTCTTTGTTACTCTTCTGTTGCTGTGAGGAGACACCATGACCAAGGGAACTTAAAAAATAAAAGCATTATATTGGGGACTTGCTCACTGTTTCAGAGAGTCAGTATATGACCACTGTACAAGGAGTGTGGCAGCAGGCAGGCAGGCATGATGCTGAAGCAGTCACTTAGAGCTTACGTCCTGATCTTCAGGGAGCAAGCAGAGAGAGACTGGACGTGGGCTTTTGAAACTTCAAAGCTCACTTCCAGTAACAAAGCTCCTTCAGCAAGGCCACATTTCCTAATCCTTCACAGTGCCAACAACTGGGAACCAAGCGTTCAAACTTAGGTGCCATGAAGGCCAGTCTCACCCAAACCATCACACCTGTACACTGGTCCCTGGTGAGCACCCATGCCCACCTTTCCTCCATATGAGGGGAGGGCTTGACAACTGATCAAGAAGGCCCCTTTGCCCTGGGGGCTGAGAGTGACTAAAGCTTCCCTGACACCTGTGCAGACACTGCAAGGGAGACACCCACAGACCTGCAGGGCCTGCTCAGCTGTTGAAGATCAAGAACCAAGTGTACCA